CACAAACAACTCGTTTCCACAACTGGCTAGTTAATTAAGTTATTTCATAAATTTTGGGGCCTGTGTAACAGAACTGGGCCTATTTTATTACAATAAATTAGTATGAAAATATTAAGCATCATAATAAACTCATTTTGGAATCTATTTAATTAAATGCTGGTTCTTAGCCAAAATCCATATACATAGGATTCTAAAAGATGGAATCTAATAAATAATTATAAAACTGTGTCTATTTTCCAATATTTTTTATTACTAAGAGCATTTTAAGTTGTAAGGACTACTTTCTGTAATAAAATAATCTCCATTTATAATTTTCTTCATTTTTCGATATTACTTTTATAAATTTAATGTGGAATCAATGGAATAATAAGATATCAATTTTCAATTTTAGAATGAAATAAATTATTTCACAAAATAAGTTAGAATTACAAATGTACGTTGTTACGTACGTCAAAATACTTGCTTTACTCTTGTTTACACGACAACGCAACGGCAGACCGTAACGTAGGTTTCTGCATTACGTGTCGAGAGATACGTATACGTATTATTGTGCCTTGCTTTAACTGTCTAATGTTTGAATGAAATACTACATTGTTTTACTGTGAATATTTTATATTCACTTAAACGTGTTCGAAATAATGAAAAATACTCAAATATACTGCTTAGAGGTTAGGTAATTTTCGATTTCGCAAAAGTAAGGAAAGTAGGTACCAGAACACTTAATTTTTCTTTATTTGTATAGACTTTATTGCTTGTTTTCTTTCTAACTAAATGGAATATTCTGTTTCGAAAGGCGACTATAAACAGTTGTAAAATAATAAAAGCATCTTTCCATTCATTTTGCCTTGGCCCTTTTGACAATAATTCCGAAAAGTGTCTAATTACCCCGCTGCATATCGCACCCCTTGTTCGGTCCCTCTCTTTAGCCAGCCGCCTCTTTGTTCTTTTTGTCGATTGTTATACGATGGGTAGCGACAGACATAATACCGCTAATCTTCACCGCGCACCTTTCCGAGGTAAAGGTTTGAGATTTTTCGTAATTTTCTATGGGACCAGTTTTGTTCTGAACCTTTCGGTCTTTGTCGTGTTCGAAAGTACGTTTTACAAATTCTGTTCGGCCGATTTCTCGTGTTACCTTTAATTATACTTATCCCTAGAATAAATATACCTGGTTAAAAAGTTCCTAAGAACAATTAATTGTTTCCAAAAAAATCCTTTATAGGTATTTCGCCACTGCACTGCAAGAAAATCTACAAAATAAAATAATTATTTTTTGTAAACACTTCTGCGTTAAACCTAAACGGACGCTGCTTGTCAGAAGTTATGTTTACAGTAATACAAATTTGCCTAACAAAGAAAAAAAAATAATGCTTAACGTTTCGGAAAGTTATCTCTTTCCGTCGTCGGAAGCAAAAAAATACAAGAAATAAAGAAAAAAACTATTTAAAATATTTAAATTCAATTATTCGAGAACACTTTACTTTTTTAAAACAGATACGTCTACAAGAAACCGTTGACGTTCTGTTAAAATTACATTTTTAACTTGATATTTAAACTTCAAAATTAACAATTACTCCCAGATAACAATTACTTAATAAGGTAAAACCAAAAAGCCCCAAACTTTCTGTATGATTATTTTTAAATTTTACGTATGTTATGTTTATTTATCTTGTTCTATCTATTGTTCTTTAAAATCAAAGAACCGATTGCTATACATTACTAACATCTACATATGCATGAGCAATACATTTATTTTTATTAGATTGAATTAAAAAAACCTCTTTTATTTTTCTTTTATAGGCTATCGCTTCTTTCATTATAATTTTCGCGTTATTAAAATAATATAGTTGAATTTAAATATTTTAAATAGTTTTTTTTCTTTATTTTTTGTATTTTTTTGCTTCCGACGACGGAAAGAGATAACTTTCCGAAACGTTAAGCATTATTTTTTTTCTTTGTTAGGCAGATTTGTATTACTGTAAACATAACTTCTGACAAGCAGCGTCCGTTTAGGTTTAACGCAGAAGTGTTTACAAAAAATAATTATTTTATTGTGTAGATTTTCTTGCAGTGCAGTGGCGAAATACCCATAAAGGATTTTTTTGGTAAGATGAATCCGCCACATAGGTACAGACATTTTTTAACAATTAATTGTTTTTGTATCTGGGAACACTATTATCACAGCCCTGCACTAGAGCGAAGATATGTTCGACTTCATGTAAAGTGGATTTTTAATAAAAAAATACACCTTAACAAAAAAAATTGCGGAATATCCAGTAAATTTTAAAATATAAAAATAAAATTATTGTAGTTACTATTTGATCAGCGGCGGCTCGTGAGTATATAGGAACATGTGAGGCTACATGAGGTTAATAATTTTGTTTAATACGAATAAATTTTTTCACCTATGAAGTATTATTCTGCGACGCGTTATCCTTTTTTTAATGGGACCAAACCTATTAGGTTTGGTACGCAAAAATATTTGAAAATTTTTTAAATACCTATTGCGAGATCGTTAAATATTGCGAAAATTTTTGACTCCTTAATATATATTTGTCTTTTTTCAGTTTCATTTTGTCTTGGAAAAGGTGTTTCAAGTATAGAAAGAATAACGTTATAAATAGGATTCAATTTAAAGAAAACACTAAAATTCAAATCATCTTCGGTACTTTAAAATAAATAAAATAAATCTTACCGGCGAAGAAAAGCCTAACCTTTAAATTTCAACAATAAATGTTTTGCGTTGAATTTTAAAAACTGCTAAAATTCAACCTTACCCTGAGTGTAATGGGGTTAAGAATACTGTATCTAATAGTCACCAAATAATTTAAATTTATAAACGCAAACAATCTAAATAATTCTCGCCCTAAATATCTAAATAAAAACAAAAATATACGATAATTAATTCACCCACACTGCTCTCACCACAACCGGCCAGCCACCGGCGCGGCACTTTAACTTCCTGAGTCATGCGTGCGAGATCGAGACTTTGTCGCATTTTTCGATAGTCAGATGATTTAAACTGCCAATGAAAACACACCCAAGCGCCAAATATCGCGCCTCAACCCTGCGATCGAGAATCCGTACCCCGTCGTCGGCCGTCGGTTCACCGGCGTAACATGATCTTAAATCGTCGCTGCTAATAGGTAGGCAATTCGAACTTTCCAAGCTAGAATTGTTTCGCCTCTGTGTACCTCTGTCGAGTCGCGTTCTTTTTGGCTGAGTTTACGCGGCTTATGTTGTGCCTGGACCTGGATGTATTTATAAAATATATTATATTTTTTTGTTTTGTTATGTTGAATGTGTTGTAGAATTGTAATAAGTTATACTGGGATTAAATAAAAAACTGGATACAAAAAATAAATCGTTCCTTCATTTTAAAGGTGAAGGCGCGGCCTCAGAGGCCTACCCTGGCGAGCCGCCACTGTATTTGAAGCCGCGGGGACATTTCTGATTAATGTCACAAATAGGGTTTCCAAACCGGGTTCCCGGTGTATGTTTATCTCCGAAATCCCGACACTAAAAGACACTAAAACTCCGACACTAAAAGTATCGAAAAATGTAAATGCCCAATTTAAAATGATTCGACTTTATACACTTTAGTCTTTCAAAGATCATATTTTATTTATACAAAGCAGAACGCCAATATCTAAAAGTTATGTTTCCATGTTTGCTATATTTTATTTTTTGCAACAAGAATAATTGTTTTTATTTTCTTTGTTTTGTCTATTTTAATAAAGCTCTTTTCTCATTTTCTTTTTGATATATGTACCTGCATTTTTATTAAGTGTTTCTTTAGATTAAATTTATCATTCTGATAGTCAATCCAATAGGCATTCCGGAATTATAGGTTCTAATTCTGGGATTTCAAAACGGGATCCGGATCCCGAAAATTGTAAACCCTAGTCATTAACATAATATGATGGCGTAGGTTAAGTAACGTTACCGCTATTTTACGCCATTTTTTCTTGTTCTTTAATGTTTTTTTAATGTTAATAATACATAAAAAAGGTGGATAAGATATAAATATTTTTTCAACAGTCACAATGTCGCAAAAATTAATATTTTTGTGACGTGATTGACAATATAAAAAAGTTATCAATCATTTTACGTCTACATAGGCATACAAGTAAAGCACTTTTCCGCCTAAGCATAAAAGTACGAAAATATATTATTGAACTGACATAAAGTGTCAAATTCAACGAGCGTAACCATAGTTTTTCGGTATATAATTATAATTACATACAAGGTATAACTTTCATGTACGAGGCTGTACGTTTTACGTTAAACGTACAACCTCGTCGCAAAAAGTGTCATTTTACTCCAAATAAAACAATACAATATACTATTTTCATGCAAAAACTTCATAAAAGTCACAAAAATGTTGAACCAATTTTCTATTAAAAAAAGAGAAAAACGAAAAATAAGAGGAATGAAACCAAAGCAAGCAAAACACTTATTAATGCGTGAATGTTAAAACTTAAGAGAAATAGCAATTAGTCTCATTTTCAGTTCTTTTATTTCTAGACAACTGACAATATTAAAAATATTCATTCACTTTATCAAAAAATTCCTAACGAGAAATACCTGTCACTGAAAAGTGATTTTAACTAGTATTTTTTTTAACAGTATCTAGGTTTATCCAGATAATAATGTGTAGGTAGTTTTTGAGTTGTAAATTACTTCTGTATTATTGTTGGAAGCTATAAATACCGTAGATTATATTTCTCAATTTATCGAAATGTGTTAAGTCTATTGGGGGGGTAGTGCGTTCTTAAGCTTTCAGAATTTATTACAGAAGGAGTTTAAAGAGTTGAAATTACTAATTTTTATTTGTAGAAACATCCTAAATCAGAAATACCGGACAAGTTCCATTACCATAATATCCTCTATGTATTTGAGGAGTGTTAAACATAAAAAACTTACCGTGACATCAAAATAATATTATAAGTTTTATAGTATATGAAGATTACTAATACTGTTTCTTTCTCTTGTTACAGATCGACGATATAGCAGCAATTCGGATATTTCCCAGATGGAAACGCCGAACCAGGTGAAGTCAGAGACAGGTGATATTGAGGAGGCGAATCACGTCGATTCCAATCCGCCTTCTCATCTGTGCCCGTACTGTGACTACACTAGCGATAGTGAAATGCGTATCCAGGCACATATGCTTGCCCAGCACGGCTCCAACAGCCATGCCGAGCCGCCTCAACAGCCTGAGCCTGCGTTGCACTGTCCCCTCTGCCAAGACGTGTCTAAAGATCGCTCTAGTCTTGAAAGGCACGTCATGCAGATTCATTCTGTCAACAGCGAGGGTCTGCAAAGACTTCTTATGTTGGTGGATCAGAGTCATTGGTTGAACCAGTCGTCTAGAACGTCGACGCCTAACAATACAGCGGTAACGAATCAAATTTCTCCAACTTCGGTTTCGTTGAAGGAATCAGCAAAGATGGAGAAGGGTGATAGCGGTTACCCAGATGACAATCCTGAACTGATGTCTTCGATGAGTGACGATAATAACGATACGGAAAGCGAAAGGTGCAATACTTGTTTTAAAACATTTAAGAACATAGACGAACTATGTCTCCATCAAAACGAAACCGGACATTTAGAAGTTAAGCAGACGGCAAGCGGTCCTGGGTACCTCTGTTGGAAGAAGGGATGTAGCCAGAATTTTCCAACCGCTCACATGCTGCAAACACACTTCAAAGAGGTCCACGCGAAGAACTCGATTGCGAACATGTCAGTGAGCGAAAAGCACGTGTACAAATACAGGTGCAATCAGTGTTCGCTTGCTTTCAAGACATTGGAAAAGCTCCAGCTTCATTCCCAGTATCATATGATACGAGATGCGACTAAATGTGTGCTGTGCGGAAGAAGTTTTCGATCTCTCGTAGCCTTACATAAACACGTTGAAAGTGTTCATTCGGAACTTACTGATGATGAATTGAACGCTTACAAGCAAAGTCTTATGAATAACCCCCTCCTGCTGGCTGGGCTTCAGGGTCAAATTTTGGACAGTTCCACCAACGACATCTTGAAGAAAGAAAGTATGCGCGGAGAAGAGAATGAGAGTACCGAATGTGACGATAGTAAAGAATTAAGTACCAGTCAGTCGCTGGACGATAGTATGCAGATTGACGGAGAAAATTCCGATGACAGTATTATTTACAAAGACCAACAATTTCTCGAAGATTACCTAAACAGCCAAGCTATGGCGGAAGATAGTTATAACGATCCTACGAGAAAATATAAATGCCACCGCTGCAGAGTGGCGTTTACTAGACAAAGCTATTTGACTGCTCATAACAAAACTTTGTTGCACAGAAAAGGCGAAAAACTGAGCTATCCCATGGAAAAATATCTTGATCCTAATAGACCTTATAAATGTGACGTATGCAAGGAAAGTTTTACGCAGAAAAATATATTATTGGTCCATTATAATTCGGTTAGCCACCTACATAAACTTAAACGAGCCATGCAAGAACAATCGAATAACAACAATAACAGTCCTGTTTCGTCCACTTTAGGCATGGCTCAGGCTCTAACCCTAGTTCCGAAGATCTCCAGCCCGGACGAAGACGACAAGAAAAAATACCGTTGCAATATCTGCAAGGTGGCTTATACTCAGGGCAGTACGCTAGATATTCACATGCGTAGCGTGCTGCACCAAACCCGCGCCAGTAAATTACAAGACTTGGCTATGGCCGGCCAAATCGACTTGACCAAACCGTTAATCGAGCAGCCCGATGCCGTGCAGTCTCCGAAACTACCCTCGCCGGTGCCGAGCGGTGGGGATGCGCTGAAACAACCCTGCCCAACCCCTCCATCGCCAGGTATCGCAGGTAGTCAGGGGATTAGTTGTCCGAAATGCGGCACGACATCCCTCAATGCCGAACAGTTGGGTGCGCACCAGTTGTACTGCTTGTTCGCGACCCCGATGGCCGTCTTTCACAACGAGGATGATCAAGAAGCTACAGCTCGTGCAATGTCCAGTAAAAAGGGTTCGCCGATATACAAACATCTTTTGGAAGGTTACGGGTTCGATTTAGTGATGCAATACAACGAGAGCCATCAGCGTAGACAGCGACAAGCAGAGAGGGAAAAGGCTGAAGCTGAGGCTGAAAAATTAAAAGAACAAAATAGTGTGGTGCCTGTTGAGGAGAAATTACCAGAGATGCCACCAGAAACAACGGAAATTCAGGAGGTTAAGGAGGAAGAACAACCCGAAGTGGAGAAACCTAGCGAGGAAGATGCGGCTAGTCTGCCAGAAGTGAGTAAATCTACGTGTCAAACGTGCAACAAGGAATTTTCGAGTGTGTGGGTGCTAAAAAGCCATTGTGAAGAGGTGCATAAAGATCTAGTGCCGTTGGAATACCTAGAAAAATACGCACAGCAACTTAAAAACGAGATCGAAAAGAAAACCGTGGTAGTAACTGCCGCTACGAGTTCTACTACAAACACCGTGTCACGAGTCGCGACTCCTACTACTCACGGAACCGACAATATCAATCAGGACACCGAAAACACTCCCGATAAAGACACTGACGAATCCAAAGAAGCCCTTCACGTCAAACTTAATTTGCAAACACCGCCGGAAGCTACATCGACGGCTCCAAGCACTCCAACCAGCAGCACCACTCCAGCTAGTTCAACAGACTCAATATCCGCTAATTTACAGGCAATGTTGGCTCAGACGATGGCTCAAAATCCTATGGCTCTGGCTCAGCAAATGTCTGAAATGCAGGCGGCTCTCAGCGTGATGCATCTTCAACAACAGATGAACTTCAATCCGGTGGTTCAAATGATGGGAATGGGATTGCCGTTAGGATTGAATGCTTTGGCGGCTATGAACCTTCAACCTCCTTTGGTACCGCTAATGATGCCTCCCCCTCCCTTTGACCCGATGACGCAATTTGGGCCACAGGATCAACAGGCTATGATGGCCAAGCAACAGGCTGCTATTATGCAACAACAAGCGGTGAGTTTTTAAATTTGCTTGTTTGTAGTTAGTGGTAGTAAACTTAGTCAAAAATTAGATAAAACTATTGTTGGACGTTTTGTTTCTTAATGTTCGAAATCGTGATTATTTGCTATATATTATGTGATTTTCAGTTGTGGCCGTTCACAAAAAAAAATGTGCAAAGAAATTACAACATATAATAATACGTAATTTAAATACGGTAATATAATAAATATAATATAAATATAATAATTCAAATACCGTATAATAATAAATATAATAACTAACTAATAATTTATAAGGTCTATAAGTTGTTAATAGAAATATATGTTATTAGAAAAATACAGCATTATCGAGAGTTTTGAGAAGGTTTTTAGGTTTCCTACTTCACAATTTCATTCCAATCCCTTATCAGCACAAAAGTATTGTTTTGTTATCAAACGTCACAAAAGTATTAACTTTTGCGACGTGATTGATAATATAAAAAATTCATTTTAACGCTTAGGCATAAAAATAAAGCACTTTTGCGCCTAATCACAAAAGTAGGAAAATATTATATTATTAAACTGACATAAAATGTCAAATTCGACGAGCGTAACCATATTTTATCGATATATAATTACATACAATGTATTACTTTTAATTTTTTTATATTATTTCGAACGTTATTTGTGGTATTTGAAAAAATAGCTTGTTCTATTCGGAGTAAAAAAGACTTTTTGTGGCTCGCCTGTATGTCAAACGTACAGCGTCAAAAAGAGTAATTTTTACTCCTAATAAAACAATATACTATTAATAATTTTTCAGGTATAAAATTAATTGCCTAATTACTAAATTAAGATGTTTTCAACTATTTTTTCTTCTGTTCTAAATAGGTAAGTATGTCATTTCTAAAGATAAAATGCCTACTAGAATAAAAGCTGCTAAAATAAATACTAAATATCAATTTAGCTGAAGAACAACTTAAAAAATAAAGTTGGATAAAAGCATTTTTGATTTATGATATAAAATACAGGGTGCTCCATTGAAAATAAAGAGAAAATTTGGATAATTAGTTTTATTGCACCTTATATACACTAAGTAATTTAAGTTATTCTGGTATGTAAGTTTTAAAGAAAACACTATTAATTCAATATTTGCTAAACGAAAACTTTCGGAATCCTTTAAAAATCACATGCAGTAAGTAAGTAAACGATTACTTATACCGTATGATCCCAAAAACGGCGTCCAGATTGCTTGGAAATGAACATCAGTGACATATTCTCCGTATAATTTTAAAATATAAAGTGACTTATATATAAAGCGATCTTCATTTCATAGCCGTTTGATGCCGTTTTTTTTGATCATATGGTACTTAGTAAAAGTAAAAAAAAATTACAATATGTACCTAGTAATCATCACTGACAGTTTTATTTTTATTGTGCAATTTTTTCGCTATTAAGAAGAGTAAAACTGAGTAGTTAATGTACTAATAAATTTAAAACATTACTCGTTTATTCGTCATTGTTGTATAAATCCTAAGTATTATGATATACCCTGTACAAATAGCTATTTACACAATAATAGTGATGTGCGATAGTATATGTCACCATATGAATATCTAATTTATGAATAGTAAGTAGTAGTAAGTATAGGTTTAGAAATAATATTTATATTAGGATAAATTTAGGGTATCTTTAAAAAGTCTTCTGGGTATTACGCTACTGTACGTAAGAAAATCTACAAAATAACTATGTTAAATAACACAGTTTTTTGTAGATAGTTATTTTTTTGTAAACAGCGTTGCGAATCTGGAAGCACACACTCGCCGCGCCGAGGGGACCCGAGGCGCCCAGAGACATCGCGCAAAAACACACCTATTAAATTTAAAACCGACCTGAAAGTCGAGAAAATAAAAAAAACAGTGAAATCCACAAAATCAAATTGCATATTATTAGTTTTAAACAGAAAAAGATAAATCCGCCTGTGATTATTTTTGTTTTCATTGTATTTTTGGTATTTTATAGAAGCATACTCATCTACGCTTTGTTTTTTGATCCTTGGCTGTTACGTCACAGATTATTTATCATTCTGTTGTCCGTGTTTGTCATGAAAAAAATCATGAAAACCAATATTACCTCGAAAATGATGACGTAACTGCCAAGGATCGAAACAAACTGTATTTTCGACTTTATGTAGCCGAGGTAACGCTTTCGCCATAGAGAAATATAGAATCTATTGTGTCTCTCTTTTATTTAGTTTCTCTGTGGCTCTCGTCTCCTTTGACTCGTGCTGGAGACCGCCTCCAGACCGAGCGCTTCCAAGACGGGGCGAGAGCCACCGAGGCAAGACGAGAGCCCCAAGTACACACTCGTCTTGTCTCGGCGTCGCACAGTGCTTCGAACATATGGCTCTAGAGGACAAAAATGCAAAACTTCTCTTTTATTGTAGGCAATTTATTCAAACTAGGTTTATTTGTGACAAATGATGAGTACTCTCATTGTACTAAATGATGATGTTCTTAGTCCCACGTTTATGAAAAAAAAATTATAAATAATAATAATGTTGGAGCTGTGTTCCATCTAAGGAAATAATAATTTATAGTATGAAAACGGTGTAAGTATTAAATAAATCCCTGTGATAAAAAAGAATTGAAATAACATTAGAACATGATTCCTACAATATAAGCCTAATATAAGATAAAAATTTATAGTATCCAAATCACAGGTAGATGAAATATCCTCACATGTAAGATATTTCTGTACATCATTTTCTAATACTTTAAGCTTAATACTAATACCTTTTCGCGTTGTTACTGTTCTTTTTGTTGATATGAGGGGTTCGGATGTTAATAGTTACCTCTTTAATAGACCATATCCATATATTATTTTTTTCTTTTCTTGGGTTTGGTTTGGTTACATGAGGTTTTATAATAAATTGAAAGATGGAAACTTTTTTATGCGACGTTTCGCTCCAACATAGTGGGCTTTTTCAGGCACAAGTGGTGTCTCATTTGACTGGAAGGTTCATCAATATCTAATAAAGAACACATTTTTGGAAATACAAATAATTTTAAGTTCTTGTCCCTATGATCAAGCCAAGTATTAACCAGATCGGCGTTGCTTATCAATTTTACTCCATCTGAAAAGTATTATAAAATAAACTTCGTCGCAAGCAGACGCAGGTGACTATACAAAAATTAAAAGTGTATGAATATGACAACAAAAATATTCAATAAATACGATATGTTTTGATATGTTTTTTTTAAATGCCTTTTTGAAGTTTGAAAACGTAAAATTTTTATACCCATTTAAAAATCATCTTAAAAAATAAATAAAAACTAAACAATCACGAATTTGTTTAGAAATAAATTTAAAGTACATACCTTGTTTAACAAAATCCATAGTGGCTTTTAATTAAGTACGTACCGCTTAACTCCATAATATACAGAACTACTATGAATGTTACTCTTTTCACTGATAAGATAATGATCGCAAAATTTATTTTTAGTGAAAATATGTGCTAACAAAAAACGCTGTTTATGAAAAATAATATACAGGATGGTTGAACATTGCTATAAGTATAAAATTAAATATTCAGATATTAGTAAATTTTAACTTTTATTTTCGATTTTTGTCCATGGGACGAAGCACTGTGCGTCGGGCCGCCTCGACGAGTGTGTACTTGCATCATAACAGACCAACTTGGCAATGGTATTTCACTGATAAAACAAATTTTCCTAACTAACCCAAAATGCTTAACGTTTTGGGAGGTGTATATATGATTATTTTTTATCTGTCTTTAAGTTTTACTTATTATTGTGTTATGTTTATTAAAAACAAAGAAATGATAGTCATACAACCTCTACAGATGCCGGAGCAATACATTTATTTATATTAGACTGTATTAAAAAAGCCTATCTACCGGTTCTTTCATTATAGTTTTTGCGTTATTAAAATCTATTCTGTGCCCTGTGTCCCATAAATGCTGACAAATTTTAGATTTGGGAAGGTGGCCCTTGTTAAATATAGCCTTTCTGTTCATTAATTCGAACATTTAACTGTCTAGATATTTTGCCAATATATAATTTATCACATTCACATGGTATTTTATATATTAGATACATTTTTAAATTTGGGATATTTTTAGTATTTTGTATTTTGTTAATATGTTCCACACCCATTTTAGGTCTATTTATGTAATTCTATTGCTCTTGTAACAATAAAGATTTATCTATCCAGCTTTCTAGTAGAAAAAAAATATCTTTATCTATGATACTCAGTTAAACTTTTCTTGAAAAAAGTCCTGGGTATTTTGTAGATAGAGAAAATATTAAAAATAATAAAAACTCCTTTTCTAATAAAAAATAACATTTTTATTTTTTAGATTTTCTGCAGTTTTTTTAGGTAAACGGTTAACTAAGATGATTTTTTTATAAATATATTTTGTTATTTTTTTATTCATAACTATGGCATTTGAAGGTTGGTAGATATGTATCGATTTCCCAATGTTGTCCAAATAAATCTTCCTTCAATTTTTCATAAGCTCTTTCAATTTTAAACGGATATTAAACTTAATGGATTTTCTATTTTATATCCTTGTTTATCATCGGAAGTGGCGTTAAAAGGTTTTAAAATGAGTTTAGTACATGAAAAAAAAAAATGAAATCAGATCTAATTGTTTAGAAAACGAGGCGGGCCAATAAAAATCGCGATCCGTCCAAACAAATTTCTTCGCTATACCCTCGTTTCTTCTAACCAGAACAATCAACGGCTGTTTAATATTCGATTATTATTTAAATTTCGTAAATTTTCCCCAGTTGAATGAAAAGGCCATAGATCACATCGAGAGAAATACTCGTTCTGTTTGCACCACACAGCTAATATTTTATTTAAATAAATGTATTAATAACATCCCACAGTTTCACAATAGAAATTAACACGGCTCTCCTAAGTATGTGTGCCAAGATAAGTGCCATGTTTAAATTTGAATTCTAATTGATATTATAATAACATTAGACGGGAGGAAAAAAAACGGTT